AAACATTTATCATTAGCAGTGTACGTGTCATTTAACATAATATTTTTTTTAAACATGCTGGCCATCTCCCACCAAAGTAGGGTGATCTGTAATAAAGTTGGTAGAATTACCGACAATATGTAAAGTAAACCTAGGTAGTAGGTTGGTAGACAGCAACCACCCAGGGAGGTACTACCGTCCTGCCAAGTGAGTGTAAAACGTAAGCCTGTCATTGTTTTACACGATGGTAGGATTGCTGGTGTTTTTTCTGTCTCATAAACATGCAAGATTTCAGGTACATCTTGCTACTTCTGCTTACACTTAGGTCACACTACACATACATGTACAAGCGTATGTATACACACCCCTCTGGGTTTTCTTCTATTTTCTTACTAGCTCTTGTTCTTGTTTATTTCCTCTTATCTCCATGGGGAAGTGGAACAGAATTCTTCCTCCGTAAGCTATGCGTGTTGTAAGAGGCGACTAAAATGCCAGGAGCAAGGGGCTAGTAACCCCTTCTCCTGTATATATTACTAAATGTGAAAGGAGAAACTTTTGTTTTTCCCTTTGGGCCACCCCGCCTCGGTGGGATACGGCTGGTGTGTTGAAAGAAAGAAAGAAAGATGTAAAGTAAAAGGACACAAGTGCAACTAATGTGACATTTATTGTGGCAACGTTTCGCTCTCCAGGAGCTTTATCAAGCCATTACCTAATGGCTTGATAAAGCTCCTGGAGAGCGAAACGTTGCCACAATAAATGTCACATTAGTTGCACTTGTGTCCTTTTACTTTACATAGGGTGATCTGAAAAAGAAATGCTTTCACCATCATTTACACTATCACTATCTTGCCAGGGGTGCACAGGTATGAAAATTTAGATGTCCCTCTAAACAGCAAATATCCCAAACCCCTCCTTCACAGGGAAGGTACCATACCAGCCACCTCCAGGACCCAGATCCAACCTACTGGTTTCTCCAAATCCCTTCACAATATGTTTCCTTGCTCACACCCATAACACGTAACATATTGTCGTTAATTCTACCAAAAACAACATAAATAAGTTAGCATAATTCTTTAAGCATTATTATGAGAGGCATGATAAACAAGAAAACCCTGGACACCAGCGCCAAGCTTAAGATCATCTGCGCTAACCAAACAAGCCCCACCTGTTAGAAGTATCTTGTGGCTTAATTGGTAGTGCCCTCAGCTCATATGGTTGGATCCCCGGTACCAGTGGAAACACTGGGCATGTTTCCTTACACCTAGTGTCCCTGTTCACCTAGCAGTAATGTAAGTACCTGGGTGTTTGGTAGGTGTGGGTAGCATCCCATGGGGTATTAGTACATCTTAGAAAGGGCTTGACTTTGAGATGAGTTGAGATGAGTTGACGAAGGATAACAGCTCTTACCCTGTAAGCTGAACTGTACAAAAAAATCAATTATTCTTACCTAATATGAGTAGGTATGCAAGTTGGTGTTGTGTGTTCCACTGAAGAACTTGACAAAGCTCATACTTGGACCAAAAAGTCATGGGTGACAGAAGTGAGATCAATACACGTGGAAAAGCCCATAGATTAATGTATTGCAGGCAGACTTAGTTTAAAAATACATTAAAAAAAAAAAAAAATATATACTTAGCACTATCTAGGTAGCAGGTTGGTAGACAGCAACCACCCAGGGAGGTACTACCGTCCTGTGGTAGTAGGTTGGTAGACAACAACCACCCAGGGAGGTACTACCGTCCTGTGGTAGTAGGTTGGTAGACAGCAACCACCCAGGGAGGTACTACCATCCTGTGGTAGTAGGTTGGTAGACAACAACCACCCAGGGAGGTACTACCATCCTGTGGTAGTAGGTTGGTAGACAGCAACCCCCCAGGGAGGTACTACCGTCCTGTGGTAGTAGGTTGGTAGACAACAACCACCCAGGGAGGTACTACCATCCTGTGGTAGTAGGTTGGTAGACAGCAACCACCCAGGGAGGTACTACTGTCCTGTGGTAGTAGGTTGGTAGACAGCAACCGCCCAGGAAGGTACTACCATCCTGTGGTAGTAGGTTGGTAGACAACAACCACCCAGGGAGGTACTACTGTCCTGTGGTAGTAGGTTGGTAGACAGCAACCACCCAGGGAGGTACTACTGTCCTGTGGTAGTAGGTTGGTAGACAGCAACCACCCAGGAAGGAACTACCGTCCTGTGGTAGTAGGTTGGTAGACAGCAACCACCCAGGGAGGTACTACCGTCCTGTGGTAGTAGGTTGGTAGACAGCAACCACCCAGGGAGGTACTACCATCCTGTGGTAGTAGGTTGGTAGACAGCAACCACCCAGGGAGGTACTACCATCCTGTGGTAGTAGGTTGGTAGACAGCAACCACCCAGGGAGGTACTACCATCCTGTGGTAGTAGGTTGGTAGACAGTAACCACCCAGGGAGGTATTACCATCCTGTGGTAGTAGGTTGGTAGACAGCAACCACCCAGGGAGGTACTGCCGTCCTGTGGTAGGTTGGTAGACAACAACCACCCAGAGAGGTACTACCATCCTGTGGTAGTAGGTTGGTAGACAACAACCACCCAGGGAGGTACTACCGTCCTGCCAAGTGAGTGTAAAACAAAAGCCTGTAATTGTTTTACATGATGGTAGGATTGCTGGTGTCTTTTGTCTGTCTCATAAACATGCAAGATTTCAGGTACATCTTGCTACTTCTACTTACACTTAGGTCACACTACACATACATGTACAAACATATATATACACACCCATCTGGGTTTTCTTCTGTTTTCTTTCTAGTTCTTGTTCTTGTTTATTTCCTCTTATCTCCATGGGGAAGTGGAACAGAATTCTTCCTCCGTAAGCCATGCGTGTTGTAAGAGGCGACTAAAATGCCGGGAGCAAGGGCCTAGTAACCCCTTCTCCTGTATATATTACTAAATTTAAAAAGAGAAACTTTTGTTTTTCTTTTTGGGCCACCCTGCCTTGGTGGGATGCGGCCAGTTTGTTTAAAAAAAAGCAAAAAAAATTAGCACTACACAATGTGAATTTCATAAAGTAAAAGAGTGGTGTCACCTGCAATGTTTAGAGGAAGTCTGACAAAAAAAAAAATAATTTAAAACTAAAAGAAAGACCACACGGCAAGTCTAAGTTACAGCAGACAGGCAAAAAACACAACCAATACGTAATAATACAACAGGTAATAAAAAGATAAAAATTCAGAGATCCACATAACTTCTCAGTAACTAGTTCTAAGAGAACAAATAAAAAATGTGACAAATATGCATAAAATATAATAGTGAAAGCCTGAGATTCATTTTCAGATACAAATGACTAACAAGACAGAAAATTGGCACAGCTTCAAAAGCACCTTAATTTTATTTGGAGTCTGTATGAGATCAGTGGAATATCAACTTCCAAACTTATGAATGATCAAATTTTACATGATCAAACAATACAAGTTTATGTACATATCCTCTACAACAGTTGTACAATCAACTAAGTGCCATACAATTAAGGCTTTTTAATTGTAATATTACAGCCTCAAATACCCCTACCCATATAAAACCTTTTAGCTTTATAATCAAATTTAAGTAATGTAACCTAACCCTAGATCTTCAGTGGTTGGAAATAAGTGCATGTTTGAACATGTTTATAAGCGTCAAGAGGATGTGGTGACAATTCATACCTTGTGATGATGCCAGAGGTTGATTATCCTCACTACACACTCCCTCACTAGACTAGTGATGATGCCAGAGGTTGATTATCCTCACTACACACTCCCTCACTAGACTAGTGATGATGCCAGAGGTTGATTATCCTCACTACACACTCCCTCACTAGACTAGTGATGATGCCAGAGGTTGATTATCCTCACTACACACTCCCTCACTAGAACTAGTGATGATGCCAGAGGTTGATTATCCTCACTACACACTCCTCACTAGACTAGTGATGATGCCAGGGGTTGATTATCCTCACTACACACTCCCTCACTAGATAGTGATGATGCCAGAGGTTGATTATCCTCACTACACACTCCCTCACTAGACTAGTGATGATGCCAGAGGTTGATTATCCTCACTACACACTCCCTCACTAGACTAGTGATGATGCCAGAGGTTGATTATCCTCACTACACACTCCCTCACTAGAACTAGTGATGATGCCAGAGGTTGATTATCCTCACTACACACTCCCTCACTAGACTAGTGATGATGCCAGAGGTTGATTATCCTCACTACACACTCCCTCACTAGACTAGTGATGATGCCAGAGGTTGATTATCCTCACTACACACTCCCTCACTAGACTAGTGATGATCCCAGAGGTTGATTATCCTCACTACACACTCCCTCACTAGACTAGTGATGATGCCAGAGGTTGATTATCCTCACTACACACTCCCTCACTAGACTAGTGATGATCCCCAGAGGTTGATTATCCTCACTACACCTCCCTCACTAGACTAGTGATGATGCCAGAGGTTGATTATCCTCACTACACACTCCCTCACTAGACTAGTGATGATGCCAGAGGTTGATTATCCTCACTACACACCCCTCACTAGACTAGTGATGATGCCAGAGGTTGATTATCCTCACTACACACTCCCTCACTAGACTAGTGATGATGCCAGAGGTTGATTATCCTCACTACACACTCCCTCACTAGACTAGTGATGATGCCAGAGGTTGATTATCCTCACTACACATTTTCTCACTAGAACTAGTGATGATGGCAGAGGTTGATTATCCTCACTACACACTCCCTCACTAGACTAGTGATGATGCCAGAGGTTGATTATCCTCACTACACACTCCCTCACTAGACTAGTGATGATGCCAGAGGTGATTATCCTCACTACACACTCCCTCACTAGACTAGTGATGATGCCAGAGGTTGATTATCCTCACTACACACTCCCTCACTAGACTAGTGATGATGCCAGAGGTTGATTATCCTCACTACACACTCCCTCACTAGACTAGTGATGATGCCAGAGTTGATTATCCTCACTACACACTCCCTCACTAGACTAGTGATGATGCCAGAGGTTGATTATCCTCACTACACACTCCCTTACCAGGCTTCCTCATAGTCACTCCTCTCACATTATTTATAATGCACTATTAGCTACTTAAAGCCCACATCAAAATATTTCATATAAAATATCAACAGTTCAGCAAGTACGAAGGTTGCGTACAAATTACCTCAATACACTGACAAATTTCTCTCCAAAATATCTGTGGTTTAGAAAAATACGTGAGAAAATACTAGGATATATTGAGACATTGCACAGCGGAAAAGAAAAAGCACCACCATGGCCAAAATCCAGGTTAGTAAACATATCCTAGTGTTTGCCCACATATCTTTTTAAACCAATTGTCGGCATCAGTTACAAAGGTTTATGCCACAAGTGGCGATGCAACAATGATGGCACTCAGACGACTCTTAAGAAGCTAATTAAGTACACAACAAACATCACTGGTGATATCAGTAAACTCTCAATATAACAGACTGTGCAAATACACAATGCACTCAGCTAAGTCAACTCATCTAGGAACAACAAAGTCCTCTGGTTACAGTTACAATCATGACCAAACAACTCAACAATCACCATTACAATCCACCCGCTGCCTCTTAGTCCCTTATATTGCAAGTTTACTGTAAATAAATATCAAATCTTAAAAATCTAAATAAAATCACTATAACATTACAGTACAGTAAGTCCTCTGGTACAAACATGTTGAGAATCTGCATTTTGTATAATATCATTATTATATCATTATTGTGTATCATTATTGTGTATCATTATTAAATAATTATTAAACACAATACAGATGGTCCCCAATATGTTCGTAAGTTGAGGAATTAATGTATAATTATTTGAGTATTGCTGTATTCACAAGAAAGTACTAAACCCGTATGGGTCATAGAGCATCAACGGTATGATAAAAATCAGTTACGATGGTTAATATAATTAAAAAAATATTAATTCACTGAAATTATATCCAAGTTTAAATTTCTGAGGTTTTCAAATATTGCATAACACTCATGGAAGTGTAAAAAGATTCAAATATAATTGAGACAGTATTGTTTCTGACCCTAAAAAAAAAAATCATAAAAGGTCATGAGGCCTCTGATATGGATATTCTTATACATGAGTGGCCAGATGTATAGTCTTATACATGAGTTACTGGGTGTATAGTCTTATACATGAGTTACTGGGTGTATATTCTTATACATAAGTGGCCAGATGTATAGTCTTATACATGAGTTACTGGGTGTATAGTCTTATACGTGAGTTACTGGGTGTATAGTCTTATACATAAGTGGCCAGATGTATAGTCTTATACATGAGTTACTGGGCGTATAGTCTTATACATACGTGGCCAGATGTATAGTCTTATACATGAGTTACTGGGCGTATAGTCTTATACATAAGTGGCCAGATGTATAGTCTTATACATGAGTTACTGGGCGTATAGTCTTATACATAAGTGGCCAGATGTATAGTCTTATACATGAGCAACCAGGTGTATAGTCTTATACACAAGTTACCAGGTGTATAGTCTTATACATGAGTGGCCAGATGTACAGTCTAATACAAGAGCAACCAGTTGTAAAGTCTAATACAAGAGCGACCAGTTGTACAGGTGTACGTAGTCTCATATATGAGTGACCAGGTGTGAAGGAACATCTTGAAACATTCTTGAAAAATTCACTCGTATTTGCATCAGGTCACAAATTCACTTGTGATTTACTACAGAGTCGAGAAATTTCTGACAGACCTGTTGAAAGCAGATAGTATATTAATTATAATCTTTTATTTAAGGAATATATAAGACACTGCGAATATCTTTTTTAGGGTAAAAATGCCTTGAAATAACACAGCCATAGTATGTAATAAAATAATAACATAAAACATAATTAGGAAATATTTTTGAAAAAGACAAAACAAAAAACACTCTGACATCCCCATGTCCAAATCTCCCCATGCAAAAGCTCAATGCGCATAAAAGGACCTAAGATCTGGGATTCATTGCCCGAAACACTGAAAGGTTACCTGTCTGCCAACTAGTTTAGAGCTATTCTTAAAAAGCACCTCATCTCCCTAACCTAAATAAGCCAACACAAAACCTAAGATGGAGTGAATGATGGTGAAAGTTTTTCTTTTTCGGGCCACCCTGCCTTGGTGGGAATCGGCCAGTGTGATAATAAAAATAATAAAAAAACCTAACCAACTCGTTCAACTCTGTCCCTGGTTGAAGATTGAGGCGCTTATGCAACATATGGGAATCTTTATTTAGGAAATGTTTTGCCATACAGTGGCTTCATCAGTCTAATACTGAGCAGAAAGGTTTAAGGAGAGGAGGAGTTTGAGGTAATAATTTCCTCAGCCTGGAGTCAACTCCAGTCGACTGCATCTTGTGTAATAACTGTTGGCTCATGAGTCACTCTCTGATGTAGAGACAAGCAGACAGAAAGATAAACACTCACAGGCAGACAGAAAGACAGACACATACACAGGCAGACAGACAGACAGACAGAGACAGATAAGCAGAGAGAGCTAAACAAACAGACATGTTTATGTGTAACAGTGAAAACAAACAATGCCAGGGGTTCCCTGCAGCATTGCACGATCATCATGTGTCAAACCACTGGTGCAATGTCACCAGTTTAATGACACTCAGTCTTATACCATGCTTCAAGGAGTTTCATATATACTCCAGCGTGTCTAAAACGTTGCTGGGACCTATAAATACTTTGTATATATTTCTATACAATAGTAAATGACCAAGGCAGGTAAAAATGTTTACCTGTTGGTGTGTTTGTGACAATCTGAGTACTATTTCAGTACCTAATATTAGTGTCAGAACAAAGACTGGCTATGAAATCACAACAACTATCATAAATTGTAATTCTCAGAATATAAAAGTTATATAAATATAAAAATGAGAAAAAAAGGGATATCGGCAACCAATATTTTCTTCTTCTTATTCTTTTTAGTAATCTTTACAGGAAAAGGGGTTACTAGCCCATTGCTCCCAGCATTTTAGTTGACTTTTACAACACGCATAGCTTGTGGAGGAAAGATTCTTATTCCACTTCCCCATGGATATAAAAGGAAAAGTAATAAGACCAAGAACTATTAAGATAAAATCAAAGAAAACTCAGATGAGTGTGTATAAATAAAAGTGTACATGTATGTGTAGTGTGACCTAAGTGTAAATAGAAGTAGCAAGACATGCCTGTAATCTTGCATATTTATGAGACAGACAAAAGACACCAGCAATCCTACCATCATGTAAAACAATTACAGGCTTTTGTTTTACACTCACCTGGCAGGACGGTAGTACCTCCCTGGGTGGGTGGTTATGGATATGTTGTGTATCTTTATACGTATATGCTTCTAAACTGTTGTATTCTGAGTACCTCTGCAAAAGCAGTGATAATGTGTGATTGTGGTGAAAGTGTTGAATGATGATGAAAGTATTTTTCTTTTTGGGGATTTTCTTTCTTTTTTTGGGTCACCCTGCCTCGGTGGGAGACAGCCGACTTGTTGAAAAAAAAAAAAAAAATCGGCAACACTTCTGCAAGCAGCAGAACTCCATGTTGCCATTAGTTGAGCATCCAGCGCCAACTTCGCGGGCTTATATCTCGGTAAGTACTGATCCTAAGATTTTTTTTATCTTATAATGTGTAGAATAATGCCCTCCTCATTTAATTTTTTTTTTTTTTCAAAATATTTGGAGCGCTGGGCGAGTGAACATAGATCTACATTTAGACAGTTTAAAGTTAAGTAGTCTTTAAGCACTGGGATCAGTCTGCCCAAAATGCACAGCATGCTAGTGGATATTTTTTTTTTTTAATGCATTGGCTGTTTACCACCAAGGCAGGTGACCCAGAAAAGAAGAAACACTTTCATCATCATTCACTCCATCACTGTCTTGCCAGAGGTGCGCCTGCACTACCATTAAAAAACTGCAACATCAACACCCCTCATTGATAAATTAGACACATGTGCAACTCTTGGGTATCTTTACTGAAGAAACGTTTTGCCACACAGTGGCTTCATCAGTCCATACAAAGGAGAAACATGAAGAACAGGAGGAGAGTGAGGTAATCAGTTCCTCAACCTTGAGTCGATGTGGTCAGTCCATCAATCTTGAATAGAATACAGCATATATGTTCGGAGAAGCAGCTTATAAACCGTAGGCAGGAGAGGTGCAGCAGTCATAGGTGGTGTCACATTTGTCCAATGTGGAAGTAGGTCATGCCTAAGGGTTAGGCAAGCCTAAGGGTTAGGCTTGCCTAACCCTTCTGCAACATTTGTGCAACACCCTTTCATTTTTTATACCACTGGCAGTGTCATCCTGCCAGAATGTCCTATAACCTATGCCTTAAGTAAAGAAACGATTCTGGAACTTGTAATATGTATTCGGCAGTCTGGCCAGCTGAATGACTTTGGCTGTCTCTCTCTCACAGGTACACATAAGTAGAGTTATTATACATAGCGTAAATTACTTAGGGTAATCCAAAAATTCTGGGAAAGTGCTAACAGTGCTTTAAGATATAAGGCATAATAAGCATGATTGGCAAGTATTATGCATTTTCACTTGATCAGGACGACTCTGCATCATGTGTAATACCTGTTAGTTTACGAGCCACTCTCTGAGACAAAGATAAGCAGATGGAAAGACAGACACACACAGGCAGACAGAAAGACAGATACACAGGCAGACAGACAGACAGATAGATAGACTGACAGACATGCATGTTTGTGTGTAACAGTGAAAACAAATAATGCCAGGGTTTCCTGGAGCAGTGCACGATTATCAGTTGTCACTCCACTGCATTACTGTCATCAGTTTACTGACACTCGTCTTAACATCATACTTCAAGGAGTTTCATACATACTCCAGCATGTCTAAAACATTGCTGAGACCTATAATTACTTTGTATATATTTCTAGACAATAGTAAATTACCAAGGCAGGTGAAAATGTTCACCTGGCGGTGTGTTTGTGACTATTTGAGTACTATTTCAGTACCTAATATTAGTGTCAGATTGGCTATGAAATCACAAGAACTACTATAAATTGTAATTATCAGAACATAAAAATTATATAAATTAAAATAAAAACGAGAAAAAAGGTATATCGGCAACATTTTTGTGAGCGGCAGGACTCGATGTTGCCGTCTGGTGAGCATCCAGTGCCACCTTTGCGTTCTTATATCTCGGTAAGTACTGGTCCTTAAAATTTTTTGGGGCTCTTATTACACACAGAAAATTGCCCTCTTTAATAAAAAAAAAAAATTTTTTTTTTTCAAAATATTCGGAGCACTGGCAGGGAAAATGTAGATCTATGTATGGACAGTTTAAGAATTAATATATGATAACGTAAACATTTCATCAGAATTTTATATTCATTTGAAAGTGAAAAAAGCTATGATTCACTTTACAGCAATTTTCGCTTTACAGATATTTTTGCTTTACAGCAGTAGCCGGGAACCTAACCTGCTGTATAAGCAGGTGCCTACAGTAGCCCAGAACCTAAACTATATAAGTGGGTCCCTACATTAACCTAGAACCTGACCTGCTCTATAAGTGGGGCCCAACAGTAGCCCGGTACCTGCTGCACAAGTGGGACCTACCGTAGACCAGAACCTAACCTGCTGCATAAGCAGGGCCCTACAGTAGCCTGGAACTTAACCTGCTGTATAAGGAGGTCCCTAAAGTAACCCAGAACTTAAACTGCTGTATAAGCTGGGCCCTACAGTATCCCAAAACCTCATCTGCTGTATAAGAAGGTCCCTACAGTAACCCAGAACCTCATCTGCTGTATAAGTAAACCTCACTCAAGGAGAACAGTGTTTTGGTATCATACCAAGCATATTCCCTAAGACTCACATCAACAAAATAACTGTTGAAGCATATGGACGCCTGGCAAACCTAAGAATAGCTTTTCGATATCTAAGTAAGGAGTTATTCATGACACTGTTTACTGTGTATCAGGCCCATATTGGAGTATGCAGCACCAGTATGAAACCCACACCTGGTCAAGCATATCAAGAAATTGGAGAATGTGCAGAGGTTTGCAACAAGACTAATCCCCGAGCTAAGTGGTATGTCCTGTGAGGACAGGTTAAGGGAACTCAACTTGATGACACAGGAGGACTAGGGAATATATGATAATGACATAAAATTACCGAGAGGAATTGACAGAGTAAACTGGGACAGAATGCTTCCAAGATGGGAAAAAGAAAGAAAAGGGCACAGGTGGAAATTGAAAACTTATATGAGTCTTACGGATGTTAGGGAATATTTCTTCAGCCTTAGAGTTGTCAAGAAGTAACAGTCTGGAGAGTGAAGTGGTAGAGGCAGCACTCATGCACAGTTAAAAGAAGAGGTACAGTAAGACTCTTGAAGCCAGGAGTGAGTGGATCTAGTAGCAACCAGTGAAGAGGCAGGACCAGAAACTGTGACTCGATACCTGCAACCACATATGTAAGTATATATACACACCCATCAGTTACACAACCCAGGGCAACATGGGTTTAGAACAGGTCGCTCCTGTCTGTCTCAACTATTGGATCACTACGGCAAGGTCCTAGATGCACTAGAAGACAAAAAGAATGTAGATGTAATATATACAGACTTTGCAAAAGCCTTCAACAAGTGTGACCATGGAGTAATAGCGCACAAAATGCGTGCTAAAGGAATAACAGGAAAAGTCGGTCGATGGATCTATAATTTCCTCACTAACAGAACACAGAGAGCAGTAGTC